TCACCATTCAAGAGTCTCTCATGGTTTCCCTCCCTCACTCTCCCCAACTATTTTTCCCCTTCTCTTCCCCCATGGTCCTCTGTTAAGTTCCTCCTAATCCGCCTATAAGTGAAAACCTATGGTATCTGTCTTTCTCTGCCTGACTTATTTCGCTCAGCATAACACCCTCAAGTTCCATCCATGTTGCTACACATGGCCAGATTTCATTCTTTCTCATTGCCATGTAGTGTTCCATTGTATAGATAAACCACATCTTCTTGATCCATTCGTCAGTTGATGGACACTTAGGCTCTTTCCATGATTTGGCCATTGCTGAGAGTGCTGCTGTGAACATTAGGGTACATGTGCCTCTATGTATCAGCACTCAGATATCCCTTGGGTAAATTCCTAGCAATGCTATTGCTGGGTCCTAGGGGAGTTCTATTGTTAATTTTTTGAGGGACCTCCACACTGTTTTCCGGAGGGGCTGCACCAGTTTACATTCCCACCAACAGTGTAGGAGGGTTCCCGTTTCTCCACATCCTCACCAGCATCTATATAAGTCTCCTGATTTGTTCATTTTTGCCACTCTGACCGGTGTGAGGTGGTATCTCAGTGTGGTTTTGATCTACATTTCCCTGATGAGGAGGGATGCTGACTATCATTTCATGTGTCTGTTGACCATCCGGGTGTCCTCTTTGGAGAAGTGTCTGTTCATGTCTTCTCCCCATTTCTTCACTGGATTATTTGTTTTTCGGGTGCGGAGTTTGGTGAGTTCCCTATAGATTTTGGATACTACCCCTTTATCTGACATGCCATTTGCAACTATCTTTTCCCACTCTGTCAGTTGCCTATTAGTTTTATGGATTGTTTCCTTTGCCATGCAGAAGCTTTTTATCTTGATGAGGTTCCAGTACATTTTTGCTCTTGATTCCCTTGCCTTTGGGGATGTGTCAGGTAAGAAGTTGCTGCAGTTAAGTTCAAGAGGGTTGTTTCATTTCCTGCTTTCTATAGGGTTTTGATGGTTTCCCACCTCACATTCAGGTCCTTTATCCATTTTGAGTTTATTTTTGTATGTGGTGTAAAACAAGTGGTCTAGTTTCATTCTTCTGCATGTTGCTGTCCAGTTCTCCTAGCACCGTCTGTTAAAGAGGCTGTCTTTTTTCCATTGGATACTCTTTCCTGCCTTGTCAAAGATTAGTTGGCCATACATTTGTGGGTCCAATTCTGAGTTCTCTATTATATTCCATTGGTCTGTGTGTCCATTTTTATGCCATTAGCATTTTTTTATGAAGAAGAAAAATGCTTTAGTGAAAAGCTGCTTGAATGATTGCTTAACTTTTTTTTAAAGGAACTTTTATCAGAAATAATTTGATAAGTGTTTTAAATACAAATTCAAATTTAGTGATTAAATAGATAATTGAAGACTGAAAGATTGGTACAAAATGGAAAATAACAGGATAATGATAGCCATAGTAATTTTCACTATGAGAATTTGAGGAAGTGATCATGTCTTAAGAAAGGCAAAACATTTAAGTTACTACCACACTACAGTCGCAAGACCAGCTTGCTCTGTGTAAAACAAAAGGTTTAAGGTTGCCTAGGGAAGCACAGAGATGTCAGCCTAGTATGCAAGTGAAATGATGTCATGAAGGTGCAGTACCTTTGCTGAAATCAGACTCCCCAGCTTCATGAAAGCGCCACAGCGTTTTTGCCACCAGCTCCTGAGAACCACCATGGAGCAAGCCCAGTGACCACACACAACTCAGCAACCAGAGCCAGGTTACAATCCTTTACTGGAGTAATTCTGCCCTCTCATCATGGGCATTAATTAGTGTTAAACTAACCGGACTCACTGTAAAACTGACATGTTTTCCTTTAAAAAAAAAAAAATAGTTGTCTTTGAAAAAGAACCATAGGAAAAAAGTGTTAACTGCATTGAGGAGTGTTGCTTAATTTAGTTGATGAGTCAGGAGCACAAATGATAAACCTAGGGTACACATGTATTATGTGTAATTCCCTTAAGGAATTTGCATTTAACCTTGGTAATGCACTTGGTAAGCACTATGATATAATCAAAACATACATGAGATTATTACGTGTTGTGTAATTTGAGTCATGTATTAATATACATAAACAAAAGAGCAGGATAAAATTGGCTGAAGAAATTATAAAGTAACAGTACACAGGAGAAAATCCAAACACATGGCAAAATGAGCCATACCAATAATTTAAAAAATAGTGATACTATTTTATATCTACTAGTGAACTTTTTAAAAAAACTTTTTTCTGATTAAAAATAGTATCTGTTATGCTAGAAATTGGGAAAACAGAAGCTTGAAGAAGAAAATAAAAATACACACACACACATAAATTGATACATTGCTGTTGTCAAGTAATGGATAACAAATTTTTTTGCTACATTATTAGGTTATCTCTAATAATCAAGTAATTGGAAACACTCCAAAAGTCTCAGTAGAAGAATCCGTTTAAATGGTTACAGATTAATTCAATGTAGTATATAGCCTTTAAAAATAGTAATGGAGAAATTTTAGTTGCAGAAGAAAATGTGATCTGTTCAGTGGATAAAAGCCATATATAAAATGGTATACATGCTGTGTTTGGATCTGCTTGTTTATGTCATAGTACTTTCCATGTCCTGAAATCATACCTGAAATCCCTGTACATCTTTCATGCCTCAGCTTCAGTGCCACTTCTTTGAGAATCTTGCTTTCTTATCTAGTTCACCCAAGTGCACCCTTTTGCACCCTTTCAACCTAGTATCCATTGCTTTTTTTTTTTTTTTTTTTTTTTTAGCAGTTATCAAGTTGTATAACTGTTAAAGAGGTAGAACACTCTTTTCATCTTGTCACCCCCTAGCACCTTGAACACTATGTGCCTGGTGGAACAAAATAAACATTTATTGAAGACTGATTTCTTCGTGTGGAACTGAGGGTTTGAGGGATTTACAAAGGAAAAACAATCCTAATTTCCAATAAAACTAATCATCTGATGAGAACTATAAATAGGATAGTTACATATACCCCACGTGGGCCGGGAACTCTCAAAGCCATGAGATGGTGACCTGAACGGAAATCTAAGACTGTTGGCCAACTGAGCCACCCAGGTGCCCCCAATATTTGTTCATATATATATATTTGAAATAATTCTGTAGTTATGATTATTTTATGTTCTCATTTTTTTCACATAAAAATAATGTTTTCGTGTTGGTTAGAAACAAAAAAGATAGTTGCATATAAACCATAATGAATTAAATCCATGAAAACTACACATAGACATCAGTCCTCAAAAACAAATAATAAATATAAGTACATATTCTTGTATTACCTTAATCAAGACCAAAATAAACACTACTCCCAAAATATGTGTTCGTTTTTGCAACATAAAAGTTCTGTAGTTTGATACTATGTATTGAAATATTGGTGGGTAGGAATGGAGAGCATTTTCAACATCTGTACAACCAGTTACAATTCCAAAAGTTCTTTCTTATACCATGTGTCAGTATAAGCATATCATTTAGAGTATTCCCACCTCATCTCCAAAACTAAGATTATGGTCTCTCCAGAGCTCTTATACAGTGTTTCTGGAATTTGAATTTTTATGAGAACATTTGGGAACTAGATCATTCTATAGAAGGCTTAATGTATTAAATTTACAATTCTAATAAATACGTAGCAAATAAAGTGTTTATCATTTTTTATCTTTTTTTTAAGTTTGAGAGAGAATCCATGTGAGAGAGAGGGGCAGAGAGAGAATGAGAGAAAATACCAAGCAGGCTCTTAGGAACTGTGAGATCACGACCCGAACCAAAATGAAGAGTCAGATGCTTAACTGATTGAGCCACCCAGGTGCCCCTAAGTGTTGTCTATCATTTTTATAGTAAGTTTGGTTTTAACCCTTGGTAAGAGGCCTCAGTTTTCTTTACTTTTAGGTGGGAGCCTGAGTTTTCTTTTTAGAGAAAGGCCTATTGTATACAACATACATTTCAGCTAAGGAAAGATGCCCACCTAGGAAGAAGAAAAAATCTTGTTCTTAAAAATGATATAATGAAGTAAAATTTAGCAGTGTTTTGGCTACATTTATACAAATTGGATTCAACTAAACTTTCATGTACTTAAAAATAATTTTAACATACTTAAAAATGTAGAAATTGGGATGTCTGGGTGGCTCAGTCAGTTAAGCATCCAGCTTTTGATCACAGTTCAAGTGTTGATCTCAGGGTTGTGCGTTTGGGCTCCGTGCTGGGCATGAGGCCAACTTAAAAAATATCTAGAAATTGAGCCCATTATTACCTCCATTGTATTAGAGTATATATTAGTATCAAGTCTAAATTAGAGATAAGAAAACTTAGGAACATAGTAGCTTTCTTCAAATTACTTATGTATTCAGGTTATAATCTTGATTACGTAATTGTGGGATACATCTCCTTTTAAGATTTTTTTTTAAAACCAGGTAGTCTGTATCTTGTATGGACAAAACTGTTCACCTTTAAATTACTATACTTCATGAAAATCACTTGATTCCTTATGACTTACAAGAATTCTGAAACATAAAACTGATATTTACTTAACTAAGCCCTCTGTTTTTGCATCAGAGAATCTTACTTAGATATTCTTTCTCTGAAAAAAATGTACATATATTAAAATTTTACATAACATTAGCAGCCAGTGTTTCCTCTGAAATTCAGTCCCCTGGATTATAAACCTCTGCTTTATATTATACATTTTTATATTATGTATCTTTGATATATGAATTGTGAATTCGTATATTGTTTGGTTTTGGAAGTATCAGGAGATCCCATTTTGAAGCATATTATTATAAAGGTTTCCCACAGTACTGTAGCAGAGTTCTTAACATATTTTTATTGCATTATTCTCATATAATTCTGAAATTTTCTTTCTGAATTGAAATAGTTACTATATATGCTATATTTTTCTCATAGCCTTATTTTTCTGACAGTTGTCTCCTAACCAACAACAGATTTTCTTTTCTTATTCTAGATTCTGAAGAGGCTCAGTCTGTAAATCCTTCTAGTGTTGATGAAAACATTGACTCTGAGACAGAGAAAGACTCTCTCATCTGTGAAAGTAAACAGATAATTCCCAGTAAAGCACCTCTTCCATCTGCTCTTGATGAATATGAGTTCAAAGATGATGATGATGAAGAAATAAATAAAATGATTGATGACAGACATATCCTTAGGAAAGAGCTACGAAAAGAGAATGAAGCTGAAGTAGAAAAGAACAGTTTATTTGCAAAACAGGAGAAAGCTTTCTATCCTAAATCTTTTAAAAGTAAAAAACAAAAGCCATCTAGAGTTTTATATTCAAGTTCTGAAAGTTCAGATGAAGAAATTCTTCAGAATAAAAAGGTTTCTGCTCCATCTTCTGTCCCTGAAACATCAAATTCTGACGCACAAACCAAAAAGGAATATGGAGTTTCAAATGAACACAAACAAAAAGGCAAAGTTAAAAGAAAATTAAAGAACCAGAACAAAAATAAAGAGAACCAAGAGCTGAAGCAAGAAAAAGAGGGGAAAGAAAATACCAGAGTAACAAACTTGACAGTTAATACTGCACTCGATTGTTCAGAAAAGACCAGAGAAGAGGGGAATTTTAGGAAATCTTTTAGCCCAAAAGATGATACTTCGTTACATTTATTTCATATTTCCACTGGTAAATCTCCTAAACATTCTTGTGGACTAAGTGAAAAGCAGTCAACACCACTAAAACAAGAACATACTAAAACCTGTTTATCACCAGGAAGTTCTGAAATGTCATTACAGCCTGATCTTATTCGGTATGATAACACAGAATCTGAATTCTTGCCAGAAAGTTCAAGTGTAAAATCTTGTAAGCATAAGGAAAAAAATAAACATCAGAAAGATTTCCACTTAGAATTTGGTGAGAAGTCAAATGCCAAAGTAAAGGATGAAGATCATAGTCCAACATTTGAAAATTCAGATTGCACACTGAAGAAAATGGATAAAGAGGGTAAAACATTAAAAAAACATAAATTGAAACACAAAGAAAGGGAAAAAGAAAAGCATAAAAAAGAAATTGAATGTGAAAAGGAAAAATACAAAAATAGAGATAGTGCTAAAGAGCTGCAGCGCAGTGTAGAATTTGATAGAGAATTTTGGAAAGAGAATTTTTTTAAAAGTGATGAGACCGAAGATCTGTTTTTAAATCTGGAACATGAGTCCCTAACATTAGAAAAAAAATCAAAGTTGGAAAAAAACATAAAAGATGATAAATCAACCAAGGAAAAGCATGTTTCAAAAGAGAGGAATTTTAAAGAAGAACGAGAGAAGATTAAAAAGGAAAGTGAAAAATCTTTTAGGGAGGAAAAAATGAAAGACTTAAAAGAAGAAAGAGAGAATGTACCCGTAGATAAAGAAACAGAATTCAGTTCTTTAGGAACAAATGCCATTGAAGAATCTGTAGGGTTACATTCAATGGAAAAGGAAATAGAAATTGAAAAACAAGAAAAGCATATAAAAGAAATTAAGGAAAAATCAGAAAAGCGGTTTCAAACTAAAGAAAAGGATGTTGAAAGAAAAAATTCTGAAAAAGAGAAAAAGATCAAACATGAACATAAGTCAGACAAAGACAAATTAGATCTTAGTGACTCTGTTGACAGAATAAAAGAAAAAGACAAGCTGTATTCACATCACACAGAGAAGTGCCATAAAGAAGGTGAAAAGATAAAAAATATTACCACTATTAAAAAAACGGATGATAGAGATAAAAGTAGAGAAAAGATGGATAGAAAACATGACAAAGAAAAACCTGAAAAAGAGAGGCATCTAGCAGAAAGCAAAGAAAAGCACTTGATGGAAAAAAAAAACAAACAGTCAGAAAATACTGACTATACTAAATCAGAAAAAAGCAAAAATAAAGAAAAAGACAGGGAGGTAGATAAAAAGGAAAAATCTAGAGATAAAGAAAGTGTAAATATAACTAACTCCAAACACTTCCAGGAAGAGAAGAAGTCAAATATAGCAGACAATAGTAAAGCACAACATGAGAAAACATTATCCCTTAAAGAAAAAACAAAAGATGAGCCTTTGAAAACCCCTGATGGAAAAGAAAAAGATAAAAAAGACAAAGATATAGACAGATACAAAGAACGAGACAAGCACAAAGATAAAATTCAACTAAATAGTTTATTCAAACTAAAATCTGACGCAGATAAGCCTAAACCCAAGTCATCGCCAGCATCAAAAGATACTCGACCTAAAGAAAAGAGGTTAGTGAATGATGATTTAATGCAAACAAGTTTTGAACGAATGCTAAGCCTTAAAGACCTAGAAATAGAGCAGTGGCACAAAAAGCATAAGGAAAAAATTAAGCAGAAAGAAAAGGAGCGGTTGAGAAATCGTAATTGTTTAGAACTTAAAGTAAAAGATAAAGAAAAAACAAAGCATATACTAGCTGAGTCTAAAAATAAAGAACTTACTAGGTCAAAGAGTTCAGAGTTGACTGATGCTTATACCAAGGAGAAACAGTCTAAAGATGCAATAAGTAACAGATCACAATCTGTTGATGCCAAAAATATAATGAATTTAGGAAAGTCATCTTTTGTTTCAGATAATAGCTTAAATAGATCTCCCAGATCAGAAAGTGAAAAACCAGGTCTCAGCTCTAGATCTGTATCCATGATTTCAGTTGCTAGCTCAGAAGATTCCTGCCATACTACAGTGACAACCCCCAGGCCTCCAATTGAGTATGATTCTGACTTTATCTTGGAGGGTTCAGATTCCCAAATGTCCTTTTCCCAGTCACCTTTTTTGCCAATTGCCAAATCTCCTGCCCTTCACGAAAGGGAATTAGATAGCTTAGCCGAACTGCCAGAGCGGATTAAGCCACCGTTTACAAGCAGACTTTCAACATCCCATCTCCGATCATCTTCTGTAGAAGATGTTAAACTAGTGATAAATGAGGGGAGATCATCTGTAGAAGTTCGAAGGTGTAGCATGCCCTCAGTCATTTGTGAACATACAAAACAATTCCAAACAATATCAGAAGAAAGCAATCAAGGTGGCTTAGCTGTGCCAAGAGATAGCTGTCCTTCTCCCAAACCTGAGGTGTCCTCAAGTGTACCTGAAAGAGAACTTTCAAATTTGTCTAACATACATTCCAGTTTTGCAGCCTCTCCAACTAGATCTGTAAACAGCAAATATATTTCATCTGATATAAATGTTATCAAGAGTACTGTTCCAATGGGCACTTTAATGGACAGTCCCGTGCATTTAGAGCCATCTAATCAGGTTGGTGTGATCCAGAGTAAATCATGGGAGGTACCTGTTGATAGTAGACTGGAATCCTTAAGCACTAATGATTTTATCTGCCCAAATTCTGGTACACCTGATCAAGATTCTTCTATTCAAGGCTTCTGTAATTCTGAAAACAAAATATTGAAAGAACAGAACACTGATTTTTTATCCCTGCACCAGACAGAACTGCCAGGAAACTCTTGTGCTCAGGACTCCACGTCCTTTCTGCCTTCACAACAACCTTGCTCTTTCCATAGCCAATCACTTTCAGATGCTGATAAACATATGTCTGTGTCATATGTTGCCAATCAAGATCCAGGTATTTTACAACAGAAAAATGCAGTTCAAATTATCAATTCTGTTTTGGATACTGACAGTGAATCTACAAAAGAGATGGAGAATACTTTTGTCTTAACAGATGTTCAAAAGACAGATGCCTTTGTCCCGTTGTACTCTGAAAGCACTGTTCAAGAAGCATCACCAAATTTTGAAAAAGCTAATACTTTGCCTGTATTACCATCAGAAAAAGACTTTAGTGGAAATGATGCCTCTTCCCAGCTAAATACACATTATGCATTTGGCAAATTAATGTATAAGTCTTCCAGTGGCCACGAGGTTGAGAGCAGCGCTTCTGATATTCATGTTATTTCACATGAGAAAGAAAAACTGGAGAGTTTGGTATTAACTCATTTGAATGATAAATGTGATTCTGATTTATGTGAAATTAGTTCAGGGATGCCAAAAGGAAACCTAAATGAACAAGATAATCCAAAACATTGTCCTGAAGGTGAAAAGTGTTTACTTTCCATTGAAGATGAAGAATCACAACAAAGCACTTTATCAAGTCTGGAAAACCATTTGCAACAGTCCACTCAACCAGAGATGCATAAATATGGTCAGTTAGGTAAAGTAGAATTAGAAGAAAATGCTGAAGATGATAAGACTGAAAACCAAATCCCTCAAAGGATGACTAGAAACAAAGCAAATACAGTGGCAAATCAAAGCAAACAGATTCTTGCTAGCTGTACACTACTATCAGAAAAAGACAATGACTCTTCATCTCCTAGAGGAAGAATAAGATTAACTGAAGAAGATGATCCTCAAATTCACCACCCACGGAAAAGGAAAGTGTCCCGTGTACCTCAGCCTGTGCAAGTGAGTCCCTCTTTACTACAAGCAAAAGAGAAAACTCAGCAGTCTCTGGCAGCCATTGTAGATTCTCTGAAACTAGATGAGATTCAGCCATACAGTTCAGAGCGAGCAAATCCGTATTTCGAATACTTGCACATAAGGAAAAAAATTGAAGAGAAGCGCAAATTGTTGTGTAGTGTTATTCCTCAAGCACCTCAGTATTATGACGAATATGTGACATTTAATGGCTCATATCTGCTGGATGGAAACCCCTTAAGCAAGATTTGCATTCCGACAGTAAGTAACATCACTCAGTGTACATCTGCAGTGCTGTCAATAGAAATATAATGCAAGTCGCTTTTGTAGTTTTAATTTTTTTAGTAGCCACATTTAAAAGGTAAAAAGAAATAGGTAAAATTAATTTTAACATTTTACTTAAACCCAGTATACTCAAAATACTATTTCAAACTAAATCAACATGGAGGCATCTGGCTGCCTCACCTGGTGGAGCATGCAATTCAGGGTTTGAGTTTGAGCCCCACGTTGGGTACAGAGAGTACTTAAATAAATCTTTAAAACAAACAAAGATAAATGTAGAAAAATTGTTAATGGATGAGACATTCTGTGTTTTTTTGTACTAGGTACTTGGAATCTGCTGTACTTCTGATATATCTCAGTTCAAACTAAATGTGGCTAACATTTCATTAAGTGTTCAATAGCCATATGTAGCTGTTGGCTACCCTAGTGATCAGCACTGGTCTACAGTATTTTCTTTTTCCTTTTGTCCCAAAGGAAGTATGCTTTTCTATCTTTGAAGGGTAATTCATGTACATGTGCATTATCTCCCCCTATTAGCCTTTATTGGCCACCCACTCCAAACATATTTAGGTCTCCTTCATGCTGTGGAAAAGAAAGTTATCCCATGACTATGCCAGTTTATCAAACTCTCCCTCTCTTTCTTTCACCACCTCATGCTTTCTCTGTATCACTTCTGATCATCTCTTAAACCTTCTACACTGCCACAGATCACCAGTGAGCCTGTAATGACAGATTTGTTGGCCTGTTTTTCTTTCTACTTGATCTTTGTCACATTTGACATTGTGACCATCTTGTTCATGAAGTTTTCCTCTTCTTGGTTTCATGATGGTGCTCTTTTCTGGTTCCTTTGCTCTTTTTTGCTTTCTTTTAATGACTCTTCTACCCACCCTTAAGCATGAGTTCTCTAGGAATCAGTTGAAAAAAGTCAACTTTTTGTCATGGTGGTCTTAACCTATTCCTGTGGTTTTCGGCAGTCTTCCATGTGCCAGTTAGTCCCCCAAATTCTTACCTAGTCATGTCCTCTCTGATGACCTCCAGAATCAAATGCAGGTGCCTCCAGGCAGCATACCTGTCATAGGTTCAGTTCTGCAGGAAGTGGACCCTGAGACTATGCACAAGAGGCTTATTGGTGAGTGCTGTCAGGAACAATGCAAGTGTATGTGTGGAGGAACCAGAATTCAGCAGAGCGAGAAGTGGAACTGAAATGTAGTTGCAGCGCTTATATCAGCTGAGCCCACAGAAGGTCTGGAGTGGGATGGCTCTTCTGACAGGTCGCTTGCACCCAGGAAGGAAATGAGGCCTGGCACATTTCCCTTCCAGTGTTCCTGCTGCCATTTCCTAGAGAGGAACTCGAGTGAGAGCTGCCAGCCTCCTAGGACCTGGGGATGGGTGCCTAATTCCTGAAGGAGGAGTCCTTGTGCCAAGCATCTGCTCCAACCTCAGACTTCCCAGACCAAAAGAAATTTCTCTCTCACTTGCTCAGAAACCAATTTTTTTTAATTAGTGATGACCCCAGAGTAGTATCCTATCAGTTACCAAATTCTAACCTTTCTATTCTACAACTCTCCAGAATCTGTCCCTTCTACCACTGCCTTGTTTTAGGACCCTCATCATTATCTCTCACTTACAACATTGCAGCCACTTCGCTTTTTTTTCTCTACTCTCTTTCTGCAGAAGCATTCTCTTTTGTTGTTAAACTTCTACCCCCCCCCCTTTTTTTTTTTTTTTTATTTCTAGGAGAGAGCGTGAGCAGGGGAGGGTCAGAGAGAGAGGGAGTCACAGACTGAAACAGGCTCCAGGCTCTGAGCTGGCAGTCAGCACANTGAAACAGGCTCCAGGCTCTGAGCTGGCAGTCAGCACAAAGCCCGACGCGGGGCTCAAACCCACGAACCGCGAGATCATGACCTAAGCGAAAGTCGGACGTTTAACCGACTAAGCCACCCAGGCGCCCCAAACTTCTACCCTTTTAAAAACAATAAAGGGGTGCCTGGCTGGTTCATTTGGAATAGCCTATGACTCTTGATGTCAGGGTCCTGAGTTCAAGCCCCACCTTGGGTATAGAGATTACCTAAATAAATAAAACATAAAAAAAACAAAAAAAAAAACTGTTTCCCTACTTAAATATCTTAGCTGTGATTAGCTGGCTTTCCGTTGCCTACAGCTTAAAATCCACATATAGTCATGGCATAACCATTCATTTTGTAATCTGATCTCAATCTACCTTTTCAGCTTCATTTTCTCACTACTACCAAACTCACCCAATAATTCAGCCATATTTAATTCACTCTTCAATGGAAGTCTCTTGTTTACTACTTCTGCTACTTAGTACTGTACCTTCTACCTGAAATAATTGTTCTTGCCAGGCCTCTTTTTCTATCCTCTTCCATGCCTTTGTTTCAGCTGTGTTGTCACCTCTGTGCAAAATCTTGTCAAAGCAGAATTGTTTGTGTCTTCCTCATACCTCCCACACGATATCATAGTTAACTATTTACATGTCTGCCTGTAATCTGATTAAGGGCTAGGACACTATCTCTTGTAGAATGAATCCCAAATTAACTTCAGCTCTGAATACACTAGTGATTTCCATAACAGTGTTTCTAGCTGCTTGTGAACATCACCTGAGTGTACCACAATATCCATAAAATCATTAGGTCCAACACTAAGCTCATTTATCTTATCTCAGAAGTGCTTTTTTTGTCTCCTCTAATTTACTTACTATCATTACCTGCTCTTTCATTTCCCAGACTGGGAACCCAAAATTCAACCTCCACCTCTTCCCTTCTGCCTTCCCACCACATCAGTCACTAACTCATGTTGATCCATCTCACTTTCTTTCCCCTTTTCTCTCTTACCAGTGCAAGGGCGACATTAGCTCCATAGACAATTCACTCACATATGTGAATATTGCATAATTAAATATTCACAACATTACATATTCAGGTAATTTACAATCACATGCTAAGCATTGTGATAACTAGATATCAGAAATCAGCAAAGTGGGCACCAGGGTGGCTCAGTTGTTTGAGCATCTGACTCTTGATTTCAGCTCGGGTCATGATCCCTGAGTTGTGGGATCAAGCCTCATGTTGGACTCCATCATGGAGCCTGGTTCATTTTCTCTCTCTCCCTTTGCCCCACTGCCCCACTTGCACTATTTCTCAAAATAAGAAAAACAGGGGTGCCTGGGTGGGTCAGTTGGTTGAGCATCCGATTTTGGCTCAGGTCTTGATCTCACTGTTTGTGAGTTTGAGCAGCACATTGGGCTCCGTGCTGATAGCTGGAGGCTGGAGCCTGCTTTGGATTCTGTGTCTCCCTCTTGTCTGCTCCTCCCCAACTCATGCTCTGTCTCTCTTTCAAAAATAAATAATAAAAAAGATTTTTTTAAGAAATCAACAAAACCAGCATTCTGAATAGTTGTCATAAGTTCTAGTCTAATCTCTTCTGTCAATCTAGCCTTCTTACTGTCTAGGTACCTATGTATACCTCAGATCTGATTATGTGACTACCTGGTTAAACATCTTTAGAGACTGAATTTTCTAAAGACCAAAGTCCCCATCATTGTCTACAGGTCCTCCCATACCTTTCTAGGCTTTTCTAGGTAGTTACTATCCTACGATACATGATGCTTCCCCAGGATATTCTGTGCTGTTTCACATCATGCCTTTGCATATGTTCATTCTTTCAAAGCCCAGTTCAGAGAAGAACAAAAAGTTAGGAGAAAAGGTAGGTCTTCAGTCCCACATCCACAGAACGTACCTGATGCTAGTGCCCTTTAAATCTTGAGAGACAGAGATTTTATTACTCTACTACTAATAAACAGTAATAGTAATTTTAAAAAAATTTTTTTAGTGTTTTATTTATTTCTGAGAGAGAGAGCATGAGCAGGGGAGGTTCAGAGAGAGAAGGAGACACAGAATGTGAAATAGGCTCCAGGCCCTGAGCTAGCTGTCAGCACAGAGCCCGACGCGGGTCTCAAACCCACGAACTGCGAGATCATGACTTGCGCCGAAGTCAGATGCTTAACCGACTGAGCCACCCAGGCTCAGTAATAGTAGATTTTAAAAAATAGAATTGTAAATAAATTTGTCATTTTTCAAATTTTTTCAGCAAAATAATTTAATAACTTAAAGAATATAAAGCTAATCATTTTCTTATTTTCTTTGTTTCCCCTTAAAGGGTAAAAAATTTGAATTGAAGTATGTTGTATCATAGGCTTAAAATATAGGTAAAAACATAAAGAACGTATTTAAATTAAACTTAGTATACATACATACATACATTTATCTCAGAAGTGCTCTTTTTGTCATCTCTGATATATACATTTAAATTAAACTTAGTATACATACATACAAAGTAGGTCACTAAAAATAATTCTAATAAGTCATGTCAGGTTGCCTTTTTAGTGCTGCCTATTGAGATATATATGTGTATATACAGTATGACACACATACTTGTATATATATTTTGTGTGCTTGTGTTTGATTACCTTTTCTTATTGCTTTGAAGATGATGTAATACAAGTTTATTTTCCTTATAGCAGTTCTGGGGATACAGCTTTGATTAAATCAGAATTTTGTTACAGTAAATGTTGTATCAAAAAGGACTATAAATAGAGCTGAGAATTTTTTCTGAGTGTAGTAGGTTATTTTTTGTTTGTTTTTAATGAGAATTATTAAAGAAACACACAGCACAGAATAGTATAAAGAGCAGTAGATTTCTAAGTAGTATACATAAGTTTGTCTGGATTTTGCTGCAAAACCAGCCGTGTGATCTTGAGTAATTCCTTCATTTCTCTGATTCTTAGTTTTCACATCTGTAAAACAATGCCTACCCTACCTCAAAGCGGGTTGAAATAGTATATGCTGTAACCCATTAAAAATTTTTAAACATTATACAGATTTAAGAGGTTACCGTTATTTTATCCAGCTCAAAATAAGTTTAAGGTTCATACTTAACTAGAGTTAATATGCAGCCCCCCACCTTTTTTTCATAAAAAGTTACTTTTGAATTTATTGGACTGAAACTCATTTGTTTAACACTTAGTTCTAAAAAGTAAATAAAGAACAGGATAATAAAGATCACTTTTACATACATTATTTGTGGTAGTTTCCAATATGATTTTATTCGATTGTTTCCTGTCAGCTGATTGCCATCTTATTGAATTTCCACATTCATGTGATCTGTTTATAGAACCCATTAGAAATGTAGTGAAACATGGGGCGCCTGGGTGGCTTAGTCGGTTAAGCGTCCGACTTTCGCTTAGGTCATGAGCTCGCGGTTTGTGGGTTCGAGCCCCGCGTCGGGCTCTGTGCTGACTGCCAGCTCAGAGCCTGGAGCCTGTTTCAGTCTGTGACTCCCTCTCTCTCTGACCCTCCCCAGCTCACGCTGTCTCTCTCTCTCTCCTAGAAATAAAACATTAAAAAAAAAGAAAGAAAGAAATGTAGTGAAACATCTCTAAAGTCAATTTAAATGTTTGTTCTTCTATCATATATTTTTATCATAATTTAACCAGAATGCTGCTGTTTTTCCAGAGGAAATCAAAGAAAGAGAAGCAAAATCATAGGTCAAGTTCCCAAAAGGCAAATGAACAGCGGGGAAAATAAAAGAAAAAGACTTGTCACATCCTGGTATCCACTGTGGTCACTAGTGCCAACACACAGAGTCCGGAGCGGGGGGGGGGGGGGGGAGTGGATAGAAAGAGCATCCCTGGAAACTGTTCAGAGATTTTATATCTTAGAGACTCCTGGGACTCACAGATCCTAAAAGGCAAAATCTCTAAGCATGATTTACTTAAAGATGAGGAAAACAGCAAAAGGAAAGTTTCCTCAGAAACCCTCTGTATATTCCTTTGGTGATTTTACCATTTCTCTGTACATCAGTAGTATGTTGGAAATCTCCAGATTTATGTATTCTGCCCAAACCTCTCTTCGGCTTCTTTTTTGCTAACTGGCTAGCTCCACTTGGATGTCCATGAGTTCCACAGACTTAACATGTCAGCACTGAATTTCTCCAAAACTGTATTTCTCTTTCCTCTTTTCTCCTCCTGAGATATCTCTTCACCAGCCATCCAGCCCTCATGCTGAAGGACCCACAAGTATCCTTAGCTGCTCCCTCTCTTTTATTCTTAATCACTGTATTTTTAGACCCCATCCCTTCTATTTTCTTCTTCTCACACCAGTGTCACAATGATTTGCTTCCTTAATTCCTTGCCTGCAATCTTGTCCTCCTAATATCTATTCTGCAGACACAGCAGTGAGCTGTAAGATCTTTCATTGATTCCCCATCACATACAAAATTTACACTGTGTTAAACATATTATGTTTCACAGCATGTTAATTAAATACATGGGGCTGGGGCAGGGTGGGGAGAGTTCATGGTCAAATAAATTTGGAAAATGAAACATCGTTAATCTAAAATAGGTTTCTTCATTCCAGAACTTCTCAGAACCATTAAATTTAATTTGTTAATTGTGAGACACCTAAGTGAGTACATGTGTACAATGTTTCTCAAACCTACTTGTTCTTAGAACCATTTCTTATAAGTCATCTTCATGGGTTCAGTGTTCTCTGAAACACACTTTAAGAATAGCTAGTTAAAAAAAAAGAAAAGGTTTATAGAACCACAATTACTTTGCCCTGCTGATCTCTCCCTCCTCGTGTCCCACCATTTCTTCCCTCAAAATTGATGTCCCAGGAATTCAACTTGTAGTTGTCTCCTGACACCCTCCTATCTCTTTGTTTCGTGTACTTGATTATGCCATCTTCTGGCAGTTACCCTCCCCTCTTTCCCTTCTTATTTTCCCCACAACTCATTTCCCTTAACTCTTGATTTTGGCTCTTCCTTTAAGATGCAGCCTCAGGCACTAACCCTCTCCAAGAAAGTTTTTCTGACACCCCAGGCTGAAAGGAGTAGATACTCTTCCTCTGGGCTATATAAAGAAGGTCTTAATGATTTTGGAAAACTTTAAAACCATAGCACTAAACTACTGTTACTCTTGTTAAATTTAAAGATGGTTATAAGACCTAGAATCAAACAAATGTATTATTGCAGTTAGAGGCATGAGAAATAACCCACCCCAATAATTTGTCCTGTAGAATTTTCCACCACATTGATTCAGTTGAGTGACTCCTTGTGATGTGGTTTAACATCTTTTTTGGTCTCCCATAATTCCTGTAAATTGTTCACTGATGATAGAGTCCCAGGGAGATCCAAGTTTGATTCTTTGGCTAGAGCTTTCTGTATATGGTGTTACATAATTCCTTTAGCACCACATCAGGAAGCACATAGAATCTGTGTGTCCCACCTTCTGAACAGTCAGAAGAATCAACTAAGTTATCATGTGGTGCCAAAACATACTGAGATACCTTACCTTGCCCCAAAATGCTGACAGTAGTTAGAAGCGGTAGGGAGAGGAATATAGATACTCCAAGGGATAGAGAGAGAATATTAAAGGGATCACAGATGTTGCTTTGTTTTAACAGGGGTGCACATGCATAGATGGAGTTGGCTTCCTTAACCTCCAGCTTCTACCAGAAAGCAGTCCACTTTAATAGTCAAATAGAGATGAACCAACCATAAGATTTTTGGAGTGTATAGACAAAGTGGGTTATTGCATGCAAATAAAGAAGTTTGAAAACCACAAATCTGTTAGAAAATAATACATCTTTTTATAAAGGACTTAATTCAATAAATGTAAAAGCTCAGCACTTTAGCATTTGATTTTTATGTCTACAAAGAGACTTACTATACTGAGACTCAGACTGCTGTAATCCTTACGACTATTTGCTTGGTGGTTTTTATGTTTTTGTGACCCCACCCCTCCCTGTATGTGAGCTGTCACTTATTGATGCTCTAAAATGTGTCTCTGTAGTCAGAAACTTGCTTAGTCCTTCTCATTTGCTCTTTGAAACTTGTTCTTGCCTAAAAATTAAAACATCTGTGCTTACCAGATATTTATGTTCTGCTGTGTTTCAGACCACTGAAGTTGGGAAGTAACAACCAGTTGTATAATCATTACTGTATTATCTAATTCAGAGAACATCGGAACTCATGTTTTCATTAGATGATACACTAAGAAGTTTAATTTTATAAGAATAGCTCATTGTTGTAAACAAAACCTAATATTTTTAACTATATATATATTTTTTAATTAGATTACACCACCACCTTCACTATCAGATCCACTTAAAGAGCTTTTTCGGCAACAGGAAGTTGTAAGGATGAAACTACGTTTGCAACACAGTATTGAAAGGGTAAGAAATGTTTAAATTTACATTTATGCTGAAAATAACATTTATGTTTAAAATATTTTAACAATAGATTCTAATGACCTACATTACACATATACATATATACACATGTACACAAAACAACCACATACACACACCCAGTTTTCTCAGGAGATTTTCCTTATTTAGAACCATTTTTGGGAAATGGGGGATTTTGTTATCTTGTGCCTGTGCAGGTAGGTGGAGAATTTTTAAACCTGTTTTAGGTTAGCTGCTCCTGTGTTATGGTTCACTCTGAGTGTATTTTTGATGTATAAAAATCTCTAATAATTTCTTGTTATCATTTGTTGAACTAAAGCAGTGAATTCCTAGTAAGACATTTGAATTCCAGGTTTTAGAATTGTTGCTTGGTACCAGCTCCTTTAGTGCAGAATACTTTAGACAGCTGTATTTAGTGTTCCTTATAGGTCTCCTTTCATATTCTAGTTGTTAGTCTGGGCGTAGAATGACATGAAAAACCTGCCTATTTAGAGAAATCATGAAAGTCATGAATTTCACTTGGATTGACAAAAATATAATGCCTTCTTAATCTTTTGGGAGGCTAAGGACTTCTGGAACTTGATACGAGCTGTGATCCTTCAAAGAGGTATATACATACTCATATGAACAAAAGTATGCAATCTCTTTGATTAACCCATGATTGATTTCCTGGGACTGAGGTTTTTAACCTTTTTGTGTCATGGGACCTTTAGCATTCTGGTAAATATAAAACCTTTTCTCAGAATTATGTTTAAATTCGTAAAATAAACTTCTAGCATTGCAAAGAGAACAATAAATAAAAGAAGCACTGATACAGATCTTATATTGTGCATGACCTGTGTCAATGAGTGGTTTGTTCTCAATAAGAAGTTAGGTCATTAACATGTCAATACCTGTTTGAACCATCAAGTGAAGCCACTTGATAACATTTTCATCTGTGTATCTATCTATGTTATAAAAGCCATGCTGCCTTACAGAAAATTAAGAATTCTCATTTGAACAGTACAATTTTCCAAACTTTAATAAATAGTAAAACGTGACTCACATCCTTTCATTTATTGACCAACAAACAATTTAGCATTGCAGAGTACTAGAAAGCAACTTAAAATGCCTGACCAACGTGACAGCAAACAGTGATACCATTTGGGGGCAATGTCTGCAACAATTACGAATTGAAAATCCTTGTGATTTCTGTGGATGGCAAAGTTGCAAATACTTCTGAAATTACTGTGGTCTGTGGCCTACGTTTATAATTGAAAGAAATGCCAGTTGGCAGTTAGTAAAAATAAAGATACAATTTTTCCCATCTGAGTTCATAGATGACCTTCTAGCCCCAGTCTATCCACAGGCTTCTTGGGAATGTTAGAACCCCCGGTCAGGAACCTCTGTTCTAGGGTCTTTTTTTCCCATCAAAAATTGTGATAACACTTGATGCTATACTGAGTGAATGAACACATCTTATACATCTTGGCCCTATCCTCATGCCCTACTCTGCACTTTGGGACATACATAATGCATTCTCTAAAGACATTGAGAAGCTGTATTCCAGAAGTTCAAAGACAAAACGTTAAGAACAATGGCCTATAGTGGAATATTTAGGCTATCATTCACATAGCATATCTCTGTTAAGTATTTTAGGAGAAGGTGTCTGCCTTCAAATAATATTTTTCTTGGGACACCTGGGTGGCTCAGCTGGTTAAGCAACTGACTTCAGCTCAGGTGATGATCTCATGGTTTGTGAGTTCAAGCCCCACATTGGGCTCTCTGCTATCAGCACAGAGCCCACTTCAGATCCTCTGTCTCACCCCACCCCCATTCATTCTCTCTCTCTGTCAAAATAAATAAACATAAAAAGATAATATATTTCTCATATAGTATTAAGGGATTTTTGGTTATTGGTCTTAATTTCTGTACAACTGCAACCAGTTTTTTAGGAAGCCTTTTCTTCTAGCTATGTTTTCTTAGTATCTGATCATTTTTGGCGGGTTGGTTATTTTATCACTTAAAGTCCCACCTTAAACTTGTACTTAAATTAATGAATCCTGAGTGTTAGACTTACCTCTTCTCTTTTGAATATCATTTGTCACATAGAATTTAAAAGAAATTAAATAGGTCTGTGTTTGTCTTTTCACTAAATTATAAATACAGTAAAACTCTACAGCAATACATATTTGTATATAATGAGACCTGCATGCTCCAGTAGGGGAAGGATAAAATTCTTATCATTGTTAAGTTGAGGGAGAGTGGGGAACGTGGTGGGAACAAGACCAGCCACACCCTTGATATTCCCTCAGGCCAGCCTGCCAGACAGAACCAACAAAATGATAGACATCTTTTAACGGGAGGAGTCCTGGACTCATTACCTCTGTCCTTGAAGTTCCAGCCATCCACAGGTCCCAGAGTTGTCCCCATTGATGTTTAAGCCAAAGAAGACCTTTACCACCAGATGGCACAAGTCTATAACCAGTATCATGATGGGTTGGGATCTGTAGCTACACCCTAGGAATTCCCAGTCTCCTAAATGCAAAAGATCACCTACATCATTTCATTAACTTTATGATAGGGTGACTCTGTATATTACATAATTGGAAGTTTTGCACCCCACTTAACACATTTTAAATCAGGATTGTACTGTCATTGCTAGAGGTTTAAAAAAAGCATCAAAGTACAGTGTTCGTTCCTGTGAAAATATTTATTATAAAACAGAAGCTCTTACCATAATGGCAGACCACTTCACACTCATTAGAAAGGCTATAATTAAAAGATAACAACAAGTGTTTGCAAGGATGTGAAAAAATTGGAACCCTCATACATTACTGGTGGCAACATAAAATGAAACAACTGCTGTTAAGAACAATTCGGCAGTTTCTGTCCAGGTTAAGCATTAAACTGCCATATGACCTAGTAGCTCTACTTCTAGTTAATTACCTAAAGAAATAGAAAATATGCATCCAAACAAAAACTTAGAGCATGAATGTTCATGGCAGCATAATTTGTGATAGCACAAAGGCAGAAACAACCCAAAAAACCATCAGCTGATGAATGGATAAATAAAATGTGGTATGTTTGTACAATGGAATATTATTTGGCCATTAGATGGGATGAAGTACTGATAGATGCTGCAACACAGATGAACCTTGAAAATATGTGACATGAAAGAAGCCATTCATAAAGTACCACATATTATATGGATACATTTGTAAGAAATGTTGAGAGTAGGTAAATCCACAGTAACAAAAGTAGAGTAGTGGTTGCCAGGGGAAGAGGAGGAATGGGCCATGACTGGTGATGGATATGGATTTTCTTTTTGGGGTGATGAAAATGTTCTGAAATTAGTGGTAATGGTTGAACATCTTGATGAATATACAAAAAGCCACCATTGTGCATTTTAAATAATTTTTAAAAAGAGACTGGCATTTTTGTAAAGAATATTTACTTAATACTTTTAGAACACTTGGAATTCTCAAATCACTCAAGCTTTCTGTAAATAAAAACTTCTCTGAGATTCAGGTTCTTTAGTACATATTAAGAGATTTTATTTTATTTGAAAAACAAGTGATTGAAGAATTGTGTGGGTTTTGTTCTGTTTTTTTTTTTTTTCATTCTTGGTTCAACTAGGAAAAACTCATTGTATCCAATGAACAGGAAGTTCTACGAGTTCATTACAGAGCTGCAAGAACATTGGCAAATCAAACACTGCCATTTAGCGCATGCACCGTTTTACTGGACGCAGAAGTATACAGTGTGCCACTGGACGCTCAGGTAAGGTGCCAATGATACAGTTAAATTTTTCCTAAACACAACGTAAGTGTTTTTTAATCTATTTCCATAGAAGAAACTTGAATTCAGCAATCAGTAAAACTCAAATGAGAAAAATACAAAATAAAGCACTTCCAGATCACCTGATCCTCTATTTTCCAAAATCCTCTAAACATTAGCCTTATATTATAAAAGCAGATATTTACAAAACTGATATATGTGTTTGGAATAATGCCCTTGAACATAATTTGTAATTTGTTTCTAAAGTGAATGTTTACATCTTCAAGCAACTGGAAGACTACTACAGGCAGATTAAATATCTAGATTGTGATGGTGCTAAAATAAGGCCAAGCTTCTGTTTCAATCTTGAATATTGCTGGAATAAATAAATGTAGTTGTGAAGAAAACTGTAGCTACGTCTTGAATAAAGTTTAATGCCACATCTAAATTATAGGAATTTAAAACCAGACATTTCAGTGGTCACAATTTTTTGTGCCTTTCAAACCAGAATGAAATTCATAGGTCATAAGAGAGAATATAATGATTAAAATAAAGAGTATAAGTACAGACTGAAATAAGTCAAGCGAGAAGGACAGATACCATATGTTTGCACGTATAGGAGGATTAGGAGGAACTTAATGGAGGACCATGGGGGAGAAGAAGGGGAAAAATAGTTGGGGAGAGAGAGGGAGGCAAACCATGAGAGACTCTTGAATGCTGAAAACAATCTGAGGGTTGATGAGGGTGGGGGAGAGGAGAAGGGGGGGTGATGGGCATGGAGGAGAACACTTGTGGGGATGAGCACTGGGTATTGTATGGAAACCAACTTGACAACTATTTTTTAAAAAAAAAAGACAATGAAGGATTATCACAAAAAATACTAGAAAATGCTGTTTTAAGTCAGACATACTAGAAATACAATTGATACAGGGTATATTACAGAGAATATTGCTTAGTTCTCTCTGGGCTTTATTTTTCTCAGCTATTTAAAAATAAAGATTAAAGATTAAACTAGATCAGTAGATTTCAGAGTTTCTTAAGTCATCAACCATTTTTATCCAAATGAACTTTCAAATTCAGAGATATTTGAAAAAGCTATTAAGAATAATTGGATCTTAAGAAAGAACTGTTTGAGGAAGTAAACACTGGAAAGGCCACTAAGAGACTGTACGTAATACAGCTTTAACGAATTTAAACGGAAGAATGAGTGATTTTTTGAAACATTTTTTAATGTTTTATTTATTTCAGAGAGAGAGAGACAGCATGAGCAGGGGAGGGTCAGAGACAGAGAGAGATACAGAATCTGAAACTGGCTCCAGGCTCTGAGCTAGCTGTCAGCACAGAGCCCGAAGCGGGGCTCAAACCCACGAACCATGAGATCATGACCTGAGCCGAAGTCAGACGCTGAACCGACTGAGCTACCCAGGTGCCCCAAGAATGAGTGATTTTTAATAACTGAAATGAGCAGTTTAATTGTGTTACTGAAGACTGAACTAGACCATCTAATATCTTGAGGTCTTTTTAAGTTGCTTGCAATTACAGAGGAATGGAATCGATTTAGGAATGAAATCGATTTAGGACAATGTAAATCAAGCTACAAGGAATGTCCCTTGAAGATTTATAGTTCAGAATGGTTGGGTAAACATACCTGTTTATTTTTTTATTTCTCCCAAAACTCATTGAAATGACAAAAGACATGTCAAAATAAAAACCAATCCATAGCAAAACTGGAAATCAAGATGGAAGGCCACTGGACCAGAACATAATGACATTTCTGATAAAAAGACAGATGAGAGGGGCACCTGGGTGGCTCAGTCAGTTGAGCATCCAACTCTTGATTTCAGCTCAGGTCCTGATCTTGAGGTTCATGGAATTGAGCCCCATGTCAGGGCTCTGAGCTGACGGTGCAGAGCCTGGCTGGGTTTTTCTCTCTCACTCTCTGCCCCTCCCCGACTTGTGCGTGCACACACTCTCCCAAAATAAACAAACAAAGACAGATGAGAACATATTGATAGTAAAATATAGCAGTGTTGAGGAATCTATACCCTAGATAGGTTATAAAGAGAACTTCAAAAATGAGTGAATTTTCCTAGTAAACACTTAAAATGATCCCAAAATCAGAGACTAAAAGAGGATCAGGCCATAATCAGCCTAATAATTAAAGGACAGAAGAACATAATCATTCTCTTGAGGAAAACTATGAAACTCTTATCTGTCCTTTTACAACTGCCTTCAGAGTAGAAGTTCTGTCAGCTGGGTAGTAGACTCCTATCAGAATAGCCTCCAAAAAACAAAGGAAAGGGGAAATAAACAATTCTGCCTTTCCTGGCTAGGGGCTTGGATCATACATTAGCCTGTTTTCTCATCATACTTCTTCCTTTTCAAAGTAAATCTGTAATATTAATAAGATTCAATAATAGGGGACAGTTCTCCAAAGAGGATATCCAGATGGCCAACAGACACATGAAACGATGCTCAGCATCCCTCCTCACCAGGGAAATACAAATTAAAACCACGCTGAGATACCACCTCACGCCAGTCAGAGTGGCTAAAATGAGCAAATCAGAGAACTCTAGATGCTGGCGAGGATGTGGAGAAACGGGCACCTCCTACACTGTTGGTGGGAATGCAAACTGGTGCAGC